ATAAATAAACAAATACATAAACAAATAAGTAAGCACATAAATACACAAAAAATAAACAAGTATATATATATACATACACATACATACACATATTTATTTTGTATTTTTAGAACCCGGCGGACTCATATTACTAAGTAGTTCGTCAGGCCCTATATTAGTTTTCGGCAGCATTCTGCATCCAAAGGCTGAGCGTCCCACAGTTCTTCCGAGTCTTTCCTTTCCACCCGGATCCAAGGAGTGGCTTGTTAGTCCCGATATAGAAGGCTGACAAACTACCAACATTCGTATAGTCTAACCCGAAAGACTGTTCTAATGATGGCGTCGATAGTAGCTACATATCTGCCAGGCTTTAACCAAACCCGGCTGAACAAGCTGACAGAAGTGTGAACACCAAAGCCGCTTTAGCCCCAAAGCCCTGAACTATGGGCCGTGCCTGCCTTGAGCGAGTGTATGCATCAGTCGAAATCCTGGGCCTCGGAGTGTGTTTTCAAGGCGGAGACGAGTTCTCAAAAATGCAAAACCCCACACCCTAAGTCCTAAAGCCCATGGCCCTGCACTCTATAAACCCGAAAACCCTAAACCCTACAGCCCTAAACCCTAAACCGTAAGTCGTCAATCCTCAGCTCAGCGAGTAGCCGCGAGGTGCGTCATGCACCAGACCCAGAGCGGCAGACGAAGGCGGCCGTAAAGAATTAGGCTTTAGGGACTAGGGTTTAGGGTCTAGGGTGGGTTCAGGGTTGAGGATTTGGGCGACGAGGCAAGCCCGCTGCAAAACATTGAAACAATTGTAGGCCTCAAAGAAGTGGAGGAACGGGTTATATTAAGTGTAGTTCGCCAGCTTATAACTTATGGCCCAAGAAGACCTTGCTTGGAATTGGGTTGTAGCCAATTAAGTTGGATGACATAGTTCCCTCGAAGACCGTACGACAGGTGGTGGAAATGGGTTGAGACAGTTAAGATATGTTAAGATAGCTCGGGCAGGCTCTGCATCCATGTTGCAAAAAGTAAAAGGGATATGAGATCAGGAAGTTGGGTTCAGAGTGGTCATACAGGATCATCTGAATCGGAACTGTCTGGACTTGCAGGTCAAGCAGGAAGCGGGCCCTGCACGAAACCTAGACCGGGAACTCTAGGCCCTCCCCTAAAGCCTAGCCTCCAAACTACAATCCGAAGACGCCTCAAACCTGTGCTTCTCGGATCCTCGATGTGACTTCTGCGAGGTGGTCGTCATGGCCCGGGTTCGTTTCAGCTCCGGTCTCATCCAGCAGCCCGGAGCCATCTCTTGGAACACATGTCTAGGGCAGAAGGCATCTGACTTTGAAAGAGCCGCATGTTCGACGCAAAAGTATACTTAACATAGAGGCCTAACTAATTACCTATACTATTTTGGGTGTCCTTATTATGACTATATAGTATAATATACCCCAAAACCCCATTCTGCCTACATTACTAATTAAGATCCCAAGCGATAAGCTCCCGGCCATGGAATCCTAATTAGATCCTCAAGGTACATCCTCCCTCGGGTGATCCGATCAGTGTTGCACTCCCAGTCGCAGAAGCTGATCCAGGTGTTCCTCTGCGGCAGTTTGCTTTAGGGTTCGGGTCTTCCTGCGGCTCTAGATGCGAGGCTTTTTTGTAATAAGCACGAGAACCGTATCATTTATAACCGTCATCACGATCGTGTTGTCGGAAGGCTTCGGTGATGTAGGAATCAGGAATGCTCGGATGCTCAGGTAGAGGAGTCTCAGCATGGAGGCAGTGCTAATGTTTGATGCTACCTGCTACCTGTCCAAAGGCCACCGAGTACTTTTCGAAGTTATGAGTCAGTATTTCATGCTAGAAACATGTTGACATATGAAGTGAATACAGGCATCAGTTTGTGCGCCATATTGAGCTGTTGCACATTGCTTGATCTACTTTTAGCATAAAGCGTGCATGTGAGATCACGGTTGCCATGTTACCACGGCATGAGCACAGCACGTGCCCAGGAAGGCTGCTTCATACATGCCCAGTAAAGCTATGTCACTAGAGCTTTGTTACAGAGCATGACGAGTGGAGGAGCTTCTTGCTAGAAGAGGCTGGTACTGTAGTTGATTGTCCCCACAGTGACCGCCCACGAACCACTTTGATGACTCTGGCTCAAAAGTGCCGGCCATCCATTTTGCGAGGGCCCGCGGACACGAGAAGTACTGCCATCCGTGCACATGACAGATTTCCCCGTTGAGCAGGACCAGGCGACCCAGTCGGAGCCCGCGACGCAGGCAACGCAGGGTTTCAATGTGGAGTCGCAGGCCACTGGGGAGTCTTGTCATGCGGTAGTCTTTTCCACCAACGGCGATGGGAAGTTCGAATTCGAGCTGGAAGGGGCCAGCAACGAGATCTTCCTTGGACGCTCGCCAGATTGTGAGATCCAAGCCAAGGACATGCACGTGTCCAAGAAGCACCTTCGGATTTATCGTGATGAGCAGCTGTGTTATTTCATCGAGCAGCTCAGCCCTGCTGGGACCTTCATCAATACACAGTACATGAAGAAGGGGGAGCGCCGTGTGCTGAACCATGGTGATGCCATCACGATTACAAGCCAGCTCTCTTCCAATACAATTCCTTTCGCATCCTTCTTCTTTCGCATGACAGGACAGACTGAGGTGACGGCATCACGAGAAGTTGCAAACTTGGCCAAAGTTAGAGTTGATACATCGGATTGCGATCTTCGGCATCTGGTCACCGACGGCTGGGTGAGGAGGCAGTGGGACATCTCGCAGAAATTGGGCGGTGGTGCCTTCAGCACCGTAAAGCTGGGTGTGCGCACCAAGAAGGGGAGCAAAGAACAGCTCATGCCAGGGCTGAGATGTGCCATGAAGATCATCGACAAACGGAAGTTGACGAAATTTCAGAGGAAGCGTTCCTCCGGGGAGAGTTTGAATCAGGAGCCGGAACTGATCAGCAGCCTTCAGCACCCCAACATTGTGTCCTGCCTTGAGTGGTTCCAGACGGAGACCTGCATTTACCTTGCTCTGGAGTTGATCCATGGCGGCTAGGTCTCTCAGTGGGCTCTTTTTCCCTTTTTGTGGTCTTACGTAGGTTCCTTCTAAAGCTACCCAATATCAAAACGGGAAGCTTGTTTGTTCCTAGGCTACCGGGGAACCTAGGTGGGGACCTGCTTCACGACTTGATGTCTGGGGGCTGCTTGACTGAGATGCAAGCGCTGCGAATCTTCCGGCAGATCTGCAGTGTAGTGGAGTACCTCCATGTCACGGTGAAGTTGGTGCACAGAGACTCTAGGTTCGCCAGTAGTACCCTTTTGCCTTTTTTTTCAGTTCGGGTTCCAAAAAGCCAGGGATTAGTAGGAAAAAGGGTGCCCTTATCATGAAGGGGCTACTGGGGAACCTAGGACTTGAAGCCGGATAACATCCTCCTAACCAGCAGAGACCGGGATACGATGACTCCCAAGCTCGCCGACTTCGGCTTTGCCCGGCTCAACATGAAATCGATGGACTGCCACACCTACTGCGGATCACCGCACTACTTTGCCCCAGAGGTGATTCGTGCAGCCCAGGATCCAAGCTGCGGATATGGCAAGCCGGTGGACATGTGGAGTCTTGGGGTCAACCTCTACATCATGCTCTGTGGCATGCAACCTTTCGAGGATGAGGACCTTGACATGCAGATCCTGCATGGCTGCTGGCAGTTCGATGTTCCCAAGTTTCATGAAGTCTCCGAGCAGGCGAAAGATCTTATCCGCAAGCTGCTGGCGGTGAATCCCAGCGAGCGCATCAACATCCAAGAGACCCTCAAAGAGCCGTGGCTCTGCACTGACGGCCTCGCCACTCTGGTGTGCTCGACGAAGGTCGATGGTGTGCAGCGGGGGGAGCACCCGGCGGAACCAGGACATAAAAAGCGCAAAGTGGAGTTTGACCCGGCTTCTTGACCTCCAGAGGCTTGACTTGTGACGTGGCTCTCCATCTTGTTCTGAAGCTGCAAAACATCGGTTTCACCGTCAATGGGGCAATCCATTGCATTCTGTGGGTGGACTTGCACAGCACCGTGCAAACCTGCATTTCGAACAGGAGCTTTCGTTGAGTGCAAAGCCTGAAGACGTAAGCCTACTGAACCTCACAGTACTTGTAGGCATTCAATCTCAGGCTATGTGCTGGCGGGCACGCTTGTTCCTGGTTGTGTATGGAAAATACACAAAGGGCAGCCGCCTTGTAGTGTTTAACTTGGGTAGACAAGGTCTCTACTTGTCAGGAACGGCATGGAGCATGGGGCCATGATGTCAAACACGCCAGGTTGACCCGGTCTCAGGGCTGATTGATTTAGGCCATAGACGGCACACCCCGAACATCCTTGCAGTACACCATACTTCCGAAATCCAAGGTGCCGAAATCCCTGCATCCACCGTTGCACAGACGTTTACATGTGGTGCCCACCGACTTCTCTGCAGTAGTGATCCAGGATGATGTCGAAAGTTAAAAACGACAGGAAGTTTTCGACTGCAAGCTTCACCTGTTGTTTAGGGTTTAGGGGTTTAGGGGCTTATAGGGCTCGGGGCTTATGGATTTGTTTAGAGCCACACTGAGAGGTTGGTTGTATTTAGTATTTAGAAGTGTGGTCAGGGGATTTCCTTCCTGAATGCCCGACCCTAAACCCAAAGCCTAAACCTCAAGCCCTACAGTCATCGAAGCGATGCGCAAAATCCCAAACCAGCAAGACGCCCGATGATGCAGCGAGTCGCCCCGAAAGTTGTAAAAGGCTTCATGTAGACCCCTCCGTAGGGGTCCTAATATTAAGGCCATTGAACAAAGAGAGTTTATTTATCAGGGCACACAGATGCAGTTGAAAGACATTCCGTGTGCCTTCGGTTCGTCAGAGTTCCAAGGATCAGCGAGCTCAGCACAGAGCCGCAGCGCCGAAGGGCTCTCCGAGAGAAAGGTCTTCAAGGTGCGGAAGATGTTCCAACCATAAGGCCATAACATAAGTGTGTGTACTAGGTTGCGCAAAGCGTCACGATGCTCCAGCAGTAGTGTCTTGCTCATACCCCAAACTGTAAGTTGCATGAGCATGCGCCAGTTGCCCCGTTTGGCTGTGGGTGATTTTGTCTTCGCGCGGTTTGCCGGTATGAGTATGAAGCATAGGCTGCTGTTTGTGCGCATCTTTCGTCATGGTCACATCACAACCGCAGTATTTTGGACTGCTGCAGGGCGCTGTTGTTTCGCTTTGTGATGTTGGACTTCGACGATCTCAGAAACAACGCATGTCGGGCCTGTAGGACGGCCGCCACGCAGAGCCCTTCATGTTATATATGCGGCAGCCCAGCCCAGGGTTCCAAACTGGGCTGAATACATACTCTGGCGCACCCAGTTTTTTCGGAGGTTCAAGATGTTTCAACCTGTTTGTGTGAGAACTGAGCCGTAGTGCAGTTTCCCCAAGCTCGAATCCTTTTGGACCTGACAGTTGTAAAGCCCTTGTATTGCTGGCCTCTCACTGTCAACTCTGGTACCTGCATGCAGGGAGGCTAGCGGCTAACCTACTGGTGCCTTTTCTCAGCTGACTGTCCCCAAGACCCTCAACTCTTGGCCCAAAACCCTAAACCCTAAGCCCAAAAACCTAAGCCCTAAACCTCGCTTATGGACATTAATCCTGGCCATGCGGGAGGGGAAACCCCCAAACCTCAAACCCCTGGTGATAGCTGCGCTTCACTTCGTATGCGACCGGGCCCCTGAAAACTAAGCTTGTCTCATCTTCGTCCTTACCGTACAACAAGGTGCATTCCCCAAACACCAGAAACGCCAAATCACCCCCACCTAGATTGTATTCTGATATACCAAAACATGCCCCTTAGGCCCCTGTTCTGATTAGGTGATGCTCTGAGCCCCTCAAAAAAAACAAGAAGTCAACCCTCAAACCCTAAAGCCCTCAAACATGATCCCTGCGGTGCGACTCTGTCAGCTGGGCGGGTGGGTAAAAAGCTTTCAAATGCTTGTCTGCACCCCTGAGCCCTAAACCACCCCCAAACCCCCCAAACCCCCAAACCCCTAAACCCCTAAACTCTAAACCACCCCTAAACCCTAAACC